CCAGAATTCGCACGACATTTTTTTAATGCTAAAAAAACGTTTTTCTAGCCCGCCGTTGCGCCAGCCCGGCCCGCAAAAGAAATTTTGCGAATTTTTCGATTTTTATATAATTTTTTTAAGATACAAATTTTGTTTATTTGCATTAAAATGCCTTGTAACACTGTAAAGAGTGATATCGTTATTTGTACACCCCATCAGAAATTTAAAATGTTGATAAATATATTACTTCAAATATGATATCAAAATTGTTGGAATACATATTTTGTATCGAAATTTTATGATGTTTTAAAATGTATACTGCCGTTAAATAATAGTTAATTAATGTAAATTAATATTATTTTAGTTTAATGCAAATATTTAGCATGAAATATACATCAATGTTTTTTAAGTTTTCATATATTTGCAGCAAAAACTGTCACGGTTGGTTTAATATTTAGAAAATATTTGAAATTAATATATAATATCTTTAAAATTTAATTTTGAAAAAACCCTGCTACGAGTAGTAACTTATACGCGCAGGTACCGTGAGTGGAAAGTGAAAACGTTTTTCGTTGCGTGCCATGAGCTGTGGACCACAATACAGATATATTATAAATACAACTATAAATAGTAATATGCTAATATTACGGTACAATAATAAAATACATCTTGTGTATAATAGCAAATTAGTACTCGTACCAATACATTAATAACATAAAAATATAATATAAAACATGGTTTATTTAAGCCTCATCGCATGATACTCATTATATCACTATTGTAAAATAGAAAAACAAAAAGTGTCTGTACTTAGTGTACTTTCATAGTTTTTATAAAATGTGGTTTGTTTTATAATACTAATTTAACTAAAATGAGAAATAAACATCAAGATCCTAGATTATCTAGAGAAGAGTGGTTCACAAAATATTTAGAGATGTTAAATTTTGAAAAATTAATATTAAAAATCGATCTACAAAATTGTTTATGGAATTTTTATTACTAAAAATTATGCATTCAAGGTTTAATAGAGGATTATTAGATTTGGTTAATGGGGACCATCATACTCCAGAATTTTTTTTATATAGGTATACACAATATGCATGCTAAATTTATATCAACACAGCATGAGTATAACCTTATATCTAATTAGAAAAAAACACTTTTAACATTTATTTAATAAAATATTTTCTAAATATTAAACCAACCGTGACAGTTTTTGCTGCAAATATATGAAAACTTAAAAAACATTGATGTATATTTCATGCTAAATATTTGCATTAAACTAAAATAATATTAATTTACATTAATTAACTATTATTTAACGGCAGTATACATTTTAAAACATCATAAAATTTCGATACAAAATATGTATTCCAACAATTTTGATATCATATTTGAAGTAATATATTTATCAACATTTTAAATTTCTGATGGGGTGTACAAATAACGATATCACTCTTTACAGTGTTACAAGGCATTTTAATGCAAATAAACAAAATTTGTATCTTAAAAAAATTATATAAAAATCGAAAAATTCGCAAAATTTCTTTTGCGGGCCGGGCTGGCGCAACGGCGGGCTAGAAAAACGTTTTTTTAGCATTAAAAAAATGTCGTGCGAATTCTGG